ACTCACACTGAGAGAGAGAGAGGGAGAATCCTATTTTTTATTGAATTAATTTCAGATCAATTTTTTCTAAAAAAAAGTAATTTAAACTAAATATAAATTAATTAATTATATATATTTGAATAGATTTTAAATGTAGTCATTTATAATTAATAATCTAGATTTAATCCAAATGTAAATTAATTAAATTGAACTATAATTTTAAGATAAATATGTGCTTCTTCAGATTAAAAATATTAGATCAGGAATATATCATATATTGTTACTACTAGATTTTATAAAATTGTTAAATTAAATTTTGTATACAATTTTATATAGTTTCTTAGGTAAATATTCAGAAAAAGGGAACCATCTCCGATGACCTTGACTTCCCTTTTCTGAATATTTACCGTTTCTTGTATCCCATAATTATTATACAATAATTCAAATATCAAATTCTGAAGACTAGAATTTTGATATGAAAATATCAATAGTTTTCGAATTGTAAGTGATTGAGTATATGATTACGTGTAGAGCACACATTGTGACATTCTCACGCACTGTAACGTAATATACGATCTAGAACCTGGAATAATCTCTCTCGCAAATATCACATAAACTAATAATAATGATAAATATCTCATGATATCTCTGCTGTCACTAGATACCTCCCGTTCTCTCTCGTTCCCTCGTTGCTTTTCGCCACTCGTAAAGCTTATGATCGCGCGTGCACAAATTATACATCCACGAAGCTCTGATCGCGTGGCATTTTAAATGGCACATAATTACACGCAAATTCTTGCTTTATCACATCATGATGAAAGGATAACGCGAAAAAAATACACATATCATACAGAGCTATAACGAGTTTTCGCTGCACAGTTGATAATATTAAAATACGAGAAGTGTAATTAACTAATTATTACTCATCAAACGAAATATTTCCCGAATTTCGTGGAAAAAGTTTGGCACTTATTACTCCGTATTGCGTGCTCCTATTGTTTACACACGAGATCGCCACATTACCAGTAAACTAATATTACCTACCACTCGAAACTTGATCATGGAAAGTATCAGAAGAAACAAGTGATAAAGATTTTCTTTAGACAGAATAAAAATATAATTAACCCTTACAATACCATACTTAATTCGGTGTCTCATTTCTATCATCGTGGATCACTAAAAACTATTTCCATCTATTCAAAATGGTTCAAAAAGTCTCTAAAAATTCACAAACATACATTCAACTTTCTAGAATAAATGTTTAAACTTTATTTTGGAAAATAACGAAATGTAGTATAAGTTATAATTACCGAAAGATTCATAAGTTAGGAAAAAGTAAGAAATCGCTCGGTCACTAGTGACCCACGATAGTAAGGTTGAGTATGATCTCGAGATGAATTATAATCACAATGATAAATTAGCAGAAGCGGAGCAAACAGCTATGCATTATTATTACTCAAAACTTAATCGCGAAAGGTACCACATAGAAGAAACAATTTAAGAGATCTTCTTTATAGAATAAAAATTTAATTAAAATATGATCTCGAGATGAATCATAATCACAATTAAGCTTTAGAAAACGGAGAGAAACATTACGTAAATTAAATTTTAACGCAAACGGTTTAAAAGAAAGAAAGTGGAACTACTATATTCCGCTTTTGTGAAAAAACACGCGGCACAGCGTATTAAGACCTTAAAGTGTCACAAAGTACAATTAATTCCCGCTCCCTTTGTGGACCTATGTTAACTTGTCACGACATCGTAAGCGCTTCTGCTCTCGCTTCAACAAAGTTCTCTTCGCTATAATAAATTCCTACTATCGGTAGGTAGTGCACAATTGAAAATTCAAACATTTCACCTCTCGTCTGGCCAATGGAATTTGATAATTAACGGGAATAATTATCGCACGAACGCAGATATAAACGATTACGTATGTCCAACGGAACATCGATCGAATTAATGAAGCGATGGCTTTCGTTGAATACGAGAAAATATTTTTGTGCCAAGGGAGGAATATACTTGTTAGCGAGCAGTGAGCTTGTTCTCCTACTAGTCATTAATATCGCAATAAAGCAGCGCATGAAACCAACGGAAAAAGTTAATGCCGCGGAACGAGATGTACGCACAGTACCATTAATTCCCTAGCCACCAAGCTTTGCGATGGAAAATTTTATTTCTGCAGATCTCAGATCTTTTCTTTCAGATCTTTTTTTTATATTTGATAAATTTATATATTCCATTAAAAACCGCATTGAATTGAAGAAAATTACCAATATATGTATAAGATCGATTCGTTCCACCGGGGATCTCATCAAATCCATTGAGATGCTGAGAATTATAAATAATCATAACATGTTAAAAATATGATTTCTTTCCATATAATATAAATCTTGTAATTTTATAAATATCTTTTTAGTCATGTAAGCTTTAAATCAGAGATTAAACTGCAAAGCTATACATTTTAATCTATACAAATGGAATTATTGTAATTTTCACTGACGCAATTCTTCCTTATAAATATTTAATATGAGGAATCAAGATTATATATTCGCGATTTATAGGTAGATTTGTATATGAATTATTTCCACAAACCTATGAGCGATTCTCGTAGTATATGGAATGTTACATTTCATCGAATACTATAGTACTGTCCTTCGTAGAACCGCAAAGCCCACAGGGAAACCCGAACGCTATTGCGGAATATCCCATACATAGACGCATAACTAGTCGGCTTTACGAGCTTCTGCTTAATATTAAGTTCTTTACGAATATGAGTATGAACATATATCGCAAAGTCCTATCTGTGTACATGTAGCCTTACAAATTAATGCAATTGATATTACAGATAAGCGAGATTAAAAGAGACATACTTTCTCTTTTAAAAACGCTCGAGATGATTTTTTCCTACTATCCAGAATAAAATAAAGCGAAAAAAACTCTATACATCTCTTCTATATTCAACACGCGAATGTTTAATTCGAAAAGGATAAATATATTTTCATTTATTAAAGTATAAAAGATTTAACTGTTCATGATATTTAATTCACTGTTTTAAATAATAATTCATGCAAATTTTGTAAATTGAAAAAATAAAATTTCATATTCAATTGCATTTAATGTCAAAAAGTATAAACGGAATTTGTAGTTAAAAAATAAAATATGTAGTTAAATTTCACGAGTTCATATATCGGATTTGTTGTTTCATGTGATTGAAAACTGAACATTTATCCTGGTTTGGAATATCGCAATCTCAAATGTTTTTAACAAAGATTAGTTCAAAATGAATACTTTTTAAAATAAATTTTTATAAACGAAATATTTAATACCGATGTAGCCATAATAGCAGTAATTTCTCCTAAATCTAAAGAGAAAATTGAAAATATTGTAAAAACGTTCGTGTACGATAGATATAAAGTAAATTTTAATTTATCTGTATAATTACATTATTACGTTTAAAATACACGATATAAATTTTTTTTTAAATATAATGTTCTGCAGGAAAAACTGATTCTGCATCTCGCGATTGTAAAATATAGCTTAAGTATAATATAAAACGTTGATATATACAATTTACGAAAACCTAGATAAATAAAAAAATTAAGCTATCGGAATTTTTTAAAAATCTGGAATTACTTTTCGGAAGTATTGACACATTTCCAATATTGTAGAAGTTAGATAAAATACAATAACTTCATGAACAAAACAAATTTCTCGTTTCAATTAATATAAAGTATTCTACTTTTACGAAATATGTATATATTATTCTAAAAATATTATTCTATAATTAAAAAAATATAGATCACTACATAAAACACATTTAATATTTTTCTGCTGACACTGCATAGATATAACTTTCAGATATGAATTTATATACCTAATAACCGATAATTTATAAACTGTCAACTAAATATATGGCTGGTTTTTGGTGAATAATAATTAAAGCACCGTGCAAGCGTCATTTACATTATTTCATGATATTCATTGTAATCTCTATAAATGTAGCATGATCGATTCGATTTGAAATCACGAAAGCTTGAGATCGGCAAAATTGTAAAATATTCAATAGCTCACAATGATTGTTGCTCAATCCAACGAGATACTTACAATTAGTAATATTGACGAACAAAGAATTTTTTAACAAACAGATAAATGCATTGCGCACTAAATACATTAAAAATATTTTTAGTAATTATGCAGTATAAGGGACTATCCTCCAATGACCTTAACTTTGACATATTTTTAAAAAACAAAATTAAAAATGGCATATAATATACAGGGTGTTTCCAAATTAAATGGCAAAACTTCGGGAGCGTGTAGAGGAGTAAAAAACTAAGAAAAAAAGTCCTATAGACATATGCTCCTTTTTGCTTTGTTTCGCAGGAAATCACGAAAAAAGAAAAAAATATATTTAATTTATTATTTTAATTATTTTATTTATAAACTTTTTAATGAAGATTTTGTTCGAAATGTGCACCTCTTGCAGCAATACAAGCATTGCATCTGTCAAACACGGCTCTTGTAGCAGCCAGGCCTTTAAAGCATTACCGTTGCAGAAACCGTATACAAAAACCATATCAGCATATTCACTATTGTATATGTATAATAATCTCCAAACTCTAATTTTTAATCATTCTATCATAAATAATTTTTCACATAATGTATATTTACTGTATTTAATTTATTTAAAGATTATTATCTCTTTCAATAAATTACCAATAAAAAGATATTTGTCAAAGATGTAACAAAAGTTATAAAATAGAGGATATAAATTTAGAAAATAAGAAAAATTTATATCTTCTACTTTCTATCTTTCAATATTATTTTCTAACAATTTATAGATTCTCAAAAAAATTATTTTTCTACAATATTTGATATTCAATTTTTATAAATAGTAATCAATTAATTATTTGTATAAAAGTAAAAAAATAACTTAACTGAATATTTCATCGTAGGTAATATTTTGTTCCTTACTTCACCTAAATTCGGTCAACGTAGATAATAACAAAATAATAGCCACTCACCACTTTGTCATCCGCATAGATGATCGAAGATCCCGGCGCTCCGCTGGCGAGCACAATGAGAAAGGCGGCGACGACTACGTGACGTATCATCTTCACGACGGAGCACATCTGTCCAGCTTCCCGAAGAAAATCACCAACACAATTTGCAACACTCGCGAGAGATCGATATTCTTCACGATCGAGGGAAAGTTTTACGCAAACTCACGATAAACCGCACTATATCGTACTTTCCCTCGGGATTACATACCGCTATCGATTATCGATGGGCTCTTTAAATCCCTTTGGAATATTCGTGAAATATTCGAAGATAAAAATTTCACCAGCGATTTCAAGTCTCTTCGGGGTGATCAAGGCGCGCGTAGTAAAAAGATCAAGATTCTACTGGCCAGTCTATTAGATTTTGTCGGGACTGTCGCAAGGCAATCGAATTAAGGATTCTATCAAGTGATTTAAAAAATTTATTTAGAATGATCAAAGTACGAGGTGTAACCCAAGTAGAAATCTCATCGAATAGTCTCAATCATATCAAGATAATCGCCAAATAATCTTCTTCAAAGTGTCCGGAAAGTACAAATTAACCAAAATATAAATACTTGTTGGCTTCGTATTTGAATATTGTCGAGTGTATTTTTACAAAAAATATATACTTTTTTTTAACGATACCACTGTGTAATCTATCGATCTGTTCAAAATACTTGCGAAATAATTCACGACAGCAATACTGTCGCGTCGCGATCGATATCGTGTATTTCCCGAACAATTACTCACGATGATTGAATAGGATTCGCGATTAGGATGTCGAATTTATCGACGATGGGGACGCTCGCGTGACTGGACGTCGTCTACGTCTTTTAACATTTATGTCTTCAGTGACGAACCAACTTTTCCCCTCACTATACGATTGTTCCTCCCACCGACGGGTGTTCCTCCTGCTTCCTTTTTTTCCCACTTCTTCTTCGTCTTCCTCTACGTCTCGACTAACCGCGACGACGGTGATTAACTAATGAGCGTCTCGCGTCGCTGTTCGCTGCTTGCTTAATTCGCTTCTTCCTTTCCCTTTTTCTTCTCGCGTATCGGCCAACTTTCGTCAACTCGGTAGTCCTGCGCCGCCCGCGGCGATGACAACGACGGCAGTGATTACCGGCTTCTTCGTACTTTCCTCCGGATTCGGGCTTTCCAGCGGCTGGCGCGTCCATCCGCCGACCTACAGTAGTAAAGTTCAGTTAGAACTCGTTAGAAACAAAAAATCGAAACCTATATATATATATATATACTATGTCTATCCTATCATTAATATTTACAATTCTAAATGTCTGTATTTGCATATGCAAACAGCGATTCTTATTCAGCACATTTCTTTATTGTAGTAAACCAAATTTTTTATTGAGTTGGAAACAAAGCACTTCCTTATTTGTATTATATGTATATGTTTTTAAAAAAATTTTAACTATTCGATAAAACAAAGTTCCAGCTTCAAGAATCTATATTTTTAATTGCGATACGCAATGATTTTTACCTTTAGGAGCAATCAAAGTCAAAATGCTCCTTTTATTTAATTCGCAATACTCAGTAACAAAAAATCTTAGAAATATTTTTAAAAAACGATTTTATAGAGAAAACTTTAAGTTTTCACGTTAGAAAGTCAAAAATTTTCGCAAGATTTTTTTGAGCGCGTGACAAGCCTACAAAGTGAGAAGAAAGTTTCCTATTTTGTTCAGCTCGTTTTTTATATGTAAAAATTATCAAACTCACAAAAACTCAAGGGACATATAGTGACCTTTGAAAATTAGAAATTTCAAACTTTAAGTTAAACCCCTGTTTTTAAATTTAAATTTCGTTAATTTTTAACAAAGTTGTACAGTCGTTTGAATTTTAATGTTTGTAGCTCTCAGAACTTTTATTCCAATATTTAACTTACAATTAGAAAGATAATTTAAAATCTACCTCATTAATTTATCTGTAAATTTACTCAATTAAACAGTTCAATAACTAGATCTCAAATTAAAATTTCATTTACAATTAAAGGTCGGATTTGATTAAAAAATGATCCAAGTGTTGAACACACAAAATAATACGAAGACACGGGATCATTGTTGCGTGACGACGAGAGAATAAGAAAAAGAATGTCGGCTACGAATCGAGATTCATCCTCGACAGAAACTGTCTGGGGGAGGTGAGGACAAAAAGTATGCAAACATCATCAGACCCTTTAGTTCCGAGTACGGTTCCAGAAGAACCATTCGACGATTCGCGCGAAACAGTGCTCTTTTGTATGCGGTAGATAAACGATTGCCGGACTTAATGGTCCCGAAGAGCCCAGATTTCTCGTCACTTTTGAGAAATATTAGAAGAAATAGAAGGGAGAGAGGAGAATCAAGTTGAATTTCAGCCGAGGGAGTTCTCCAAGAAAGAATGTCACGAATTTTTATGAATCAGACATACGTGACACATACACGAAAGGTAATTAATCAATGTGGTAAATCGCAATGCATATGCAAAAATACCAATTTAAAGAAGCTTGCATATTACATATTACAAGCTTCTTTAAATTGTAGATTCAAGAAAAATTTGTTTTCGAATTAGTACAATAAAAATAAAAGAAATATAATTAAATTAAATTAAAAAACATTTCGTATCTTTTTATATCAAATTGTAAAAAAAGGCGAAATCTGCTAAAATTCTTTTTAATCAATCGCAAATCCATCGAAGAATCTTGAATCTACGATGTCAAAAAGAAACGTGCGACATACATATGCGATACGTATTAATAAAAGGATTTCTTTCTATTTTATATCCTGATCGCTTCCGAGATTGTTAAAACTTTGAAATCCTTACGCCGCATATCTAAGAATAAGTTGAATGAGTCTTCAAAAGAATTAAGAGAATGCTCGAAAGTAGGTAACAACAAAGTCAGGAAAACATAATTAAATCTTATCCTATTTTCTCTAGATTAAGTCGCGCGCACTCTTGATGAGAATTCTGTCCGATCCATTTCGTCTTGCTTACACCTGCAGTTGCGGAGAGAAATAATCTCGTCCCACCGTGAATTGATTAGTTCCCTTATATTCAAGTCAATTTTCAGTTTTGAATTCAATTTCAAATTTAAATTTCATGTAATGTATATGTATCGTATATTTATGTGTGTATAGTACTAAATTTTAAGAAGTTCAAAGATTTATAAAAACATTTATAAACAAGAAATAAATCGTAGAATATTTTATCTATAAACGCATTAATTTAATAATAATTTAATTCTTAATATGGCTCAATCAGAATAAATCAATAAATAAAAGAAGGGTTACGAGCCAATTATAATGTAAAATATTTAATAATTGGATCCCTTATGCAATCAAAATGTTGTTTATAAGATCTCTTGTGATGATTGCGAAGCTAGTTATGTGGGTCAGACCAAAAGACAGTTAAAGACAAGATTGCACGAACATATCTCCGATTAATAAGAAGTCAATATCTCCAACGGTGATTACAAGTCACCGCATTGACCAGAATCATAATTTCGACTGGGGCAATGTTGAAATTTTAGACAGAGAAGCTTCTTTTAATAAGAGATTAATATCGGAGATGGTTCACATAAAATGACAAAAACATAACTAGGGATAAACAAACAAAATGACACAAAATCTCTGCCAGAATCATATCTAAACATTATTCAATCTCTTTCCCCTTCTTAACATTGTCCTTTGTCCCCTTCCAATTATCTTTCCTATTTCCTTGTTTCCTTTTGTCATAACGTCGCTTGACATCGTCGAGGATAAATGTTCTCTCCAATAGTATTATGGCTTACTTTTTATTAAATATAACTTAGTTAATTTTGCGTTTTCCTCTCGGCGTCTGACTTACATTAAGGCCCAGTTCCACAACTCACGGTTAACTCTTAATCGAGGTTCAACTTCTTTCTCATCTCTTTCCAATTCTAGAATTAGAAAGAGACAATGAATAAGTTGAACCTCAGTTAAGAGTTAACCGTGAGTTGTGGAACTGAGCCTAAGACAATTCAAGGTATATATATTTACGTAATTTAATTAATATAAAATGTACATACTTGATAATTTTAAACTGTAATGCAATGTCAAGTTATTATTTATTTGTAAGATTGTAGAATTGTGAAAAGTGAGATGAGATCACCTTTATGATACTTTTACATATGGACCGCATATTGCGAATACAAAATAACCGACGTTTTTACTGGACATTATAATGTGACCGAATATTTCGATAATTTATGTAATATTGCTTGTTGTTTTACATTGAAAATAACCCGATCGGTGTCGAAACGTTTGTATGTACGATTTTTAAATTATTAAATATTTTACATTATAATTGGCTCGTAGCCCTTCTTTTATTTATTAATTAATAATAATTAATCATTATTATTCAAATCATAGTTCTAATGGATAACATAAAATCTACAGTAATCTAATGTAGATTATTTCATTAAATTAGATAATTAAGTATACATATAAATGCATATGTGTATATTAAATGGGATTATATCGACTTGAATTGTATAACGCGTGTTTCTCATTCACATAATAATTCGTGTAATAAACAGACCGTTAACATGTTAAAGCTTGAAGGTTCACACAGATTATCTTATGAAGGACGCAAAATGCGAAAGCGATCAATCAATGAAAAAACAGAACGATCGTCATTGGTCGATAGTTGGAAAAATGCCGGGAACGAGGACATGAGATAAAGGAAAGCCGATCGGACTGACGACCGGAAACCGGAAGATCACACGCGGGACCGAAAGAACTGGAGAATCGTTATCGCCGGGGAACGTGCCAACGCGAGCTGGCATGACCTCATTTCATCATGTCTCGATAATCACCGGCATTCTTCACTGTACTGCCCGCTTCCCTGCTTGTGACATGCACGCCATTTCCATCTTACATCTCTAACAACGATTTTTCTTCGCAACTCAATGTCTTGATAAGACAAACGAGTTCTAAACAATCAATCTTAAGTAAAATCGTAAAGATACTTTCGCGAATCTGTAAGATTCCAGACACGGAATGCAAAAGTTTGTAATTCTATTAAAAAAAGGAAAATTTGCAAATTACTATTTCTTTTCAAAAATAAAATCAATTCAAGATTAGTTAGAGGATTTTAAAACGCAGTGTGAAATTCTTAAGAATTTACAAATTGAAAGGATATTATCCTTTTATTGTATTAGGATTTTAAAAGTAACTTTTATTAAATGGATTTTCCAGAAGCATTATATATGGATCTCGAAAGCGAATGAATGCAGGTAGAATGCGATTGAGTGGACTGCGCAATCTCCCTATCAGGGCATTGACGTGAGTCTTTCTTTCTTTCCACAATAAACACAATAGATAAAAGACTGCGGAGACAAGAAGTGAGACTCTCGGTCGAAGACCTTAATGAGATACATCAGAGCAATATTTTTATTTAAGTAATTTCTTTCGATCATCAGCTGGATCCATTCCAACTTTAATTGATACCGTAAGTTCACAAATTATTACGAGACGATTGAACACAATTTCAAATTTTACACACAAAAAGAAGGGAACATTGTATTTAATAGTAAAAATATTAATCTGGAAAAAATTTTAAACAGTAAAAAGTACTGTTGAAATAAATAATAAGAAATTAAGAATTTATTTAACTAGATTATTCCTAATTTCTTTGATTTGAATTAAAGTTAATACTATAAGTTGAGACCTTTTTACAAGTTTTACGAATTTTACGTTTTATCATAAAATCGATTACTGTCACGCGAAGAAGAAATTAATGAAAATTGTACTCCAGGGATAAATGATCTATATTGACGTGTATGAAAAAATAGTATGCGATTAATTAAGAAGAATTATTTCTCGGAGGAAATGCGGTATTTAGCGTGAAACCTCGGTATCACGTGTTTTTTAACGTGAAAAACGAATAATGGAGAGAGTTTTATTTAACTATATATATAACCGCAAAAGTGTGTGTGAGCACAATAAAAAACGATAATATCATAAAGCAAAGTGCAACAACGCACTATGTTATACATACGATGTTATAAAACAATGCTAAATCGTCGATAAACACTGTTTTTTTATTTTCACGCGCAGGTAAAAGCACCCCAAATGTTTCCATAAATATTCCTTGGTCCGGGAAAAATTATCAAGATAGTTGTTTAGTCATTTAAAATTCCTCAATAAATTTTATATCAATTAGTTATTACTTACAAAACATTGAATTACTTTCTCGTATTGTAAATGTATCAAGTTTCTTAGAGCGCGTTTGGTCAGTAAGCCAAACAATTTCAATATATACCGTAAAAAACATAATTTATCTAATCTGTTGACCGAACGAGTTCATTTGTAGATCCAATCAACGCGTTTTCCTCGATTTATTTTCGTATCTAACTTGTGTATCCAGACGAAAATCTGTGTCTTCTAGAATTCTTTGCTTTCGGCAAAAAAAATGAGAAAGAAAAACAAAAAAAAACAAGAGAGAGAGAGAGAGAGAGAAAATCGGCCATGATGCCATCGCTGCCCACTCGCGCGGATATTTTCTGAATTGTAAAGGTCTTTCCTTTTCTCTTATCCGGCGGTTTATAATGCTACTTACAATAATATTTCGAAACAATTCTACTCTGAAGAATTTAGCAAACATAAAAATTTGTCCAATCTCTAAATAATTACTATCTGATTTTATTTTCCTTATTTTAGTCAGATAATGTAACAAATTTTATTGGATTCTATATACTTTCATATGATTTTGTGCATCAGATAATTATGATTTTTTATTTATGCCCTACATTTATCTCTTACTATTTTATTCAAAATAAATTGTAGAGACCTACGTCTACATAAAAAAAAAACGCTATCAAAGTTACAAACATTTGGAAATTATTATACTCTCTTCTATATATGTCGTTTTGTGCTTTTTTTTAAGAGTTAATTTTAAATATTAATATCCTCATATATTTTTAAAGGAAAATAAAAGAGAAAAAAAGAGACAAAACGTGCAAAACGTATGAGAAGCACTGCAGTAGAGTACTATATTATAGATCACAAATTCTCCTAACCGAGCCATCTATCTACCTGCATTAAAGTTGTACTCGTTTCTTGAACCTAGACCGTGAAATATATCGCGCGCACCTTACGACATGAATCAACCTGGCTAGCACTCAGGGGGTTTCCCGGTGCGCAGCTAGTGCAAATAATTCACTCCATATGCTAATCGCGTCTAAATCGAAACCCTGATGACGTGCCGTCGCTATACCGAGACTGTATCAAAGATACCGTTGTTATTACAACCTTTTTGTTGTGAAAGAATTCTCATCTGCACTATGCTTACAAGTATTTTTCAACGCTTATCACGCAATGATGTGATTTACCTACTCAATTATTCATAGCTTGATTACGTTTCCACGATTAATATTATTTAGTAATTAATTTTATAAGATTGCCTTAAAATAATCTATCAGTAATTAAGTTTGTATTCGTTCTTTAGTCTTTAATTAATCTTGTTAAATAGCTTTAAAATCACATTTAAGATCGGAATTCTATGAGAAAAGCGGAGTATAAATTTAAAATTAACTACTAAACGAGATTTCATTCTCGTTTGAGTTCTTGTAATTTAATTCACCAGTTTCGCTCGTTTAACTTTCAACGATTATAGACTCTTCTATACATTAAAATGTATACATTTTATTGTTTTTAAAATCAATAGTTTCAAAAGTTCAAAATAGATTTGTAGACAGATTCACGTACATATTTTTCGTAAAATATTTTATTTGCGAAACAAATTCCCATTCGCTGTGCGTTGGCAAGATTTTAAAAAAAGAAATTCTATTTCACTTTTGGAAATTGTGTTATCCATTTTTTTGTGAATATTGGCACAAGCTAAGCTCTTGTCGTCAACAAACCAATTTTATTTGGAGGGAACTAACTCTGGTTTTGGCTTGCAATTTTAAAACGTGACGCGGCACAATTCGCAACATGTCTTCCGTCCATTGCGAAAAAAGTTCGATCCCAAATTCAAGCGCCGTGCGCTTCCGTTCGCACATCCAAGGCCGATATACACAAAAAATGCAATACGTTTCCTCCCTCGCTTCCCTTCCCTTCTCTTCTCCCACGCATTTAGCATGCGTACACATGCACACGTTCACATGCGCACAATTTCTTCATTTTTCGTTTAATTATTATTCGTAATCTCAATGCAAAGGCAACGTTCTTTCTCTATAAAATATTATCTTTATTTGATCCTTTAATAAAAATTTCTAATTTATTCATAAAATTCAAAAATATCGTTCATCAACGCTCTAAAATTACAAAAATATCATTCATCAACACTCTAAAATTACTGTACAAGACTCTGTGCAAATTTTATAGGTTTCATTATTTTAATAAGATTATAAATTACATTCTGCGATAAAAAAAAAACATGTTAAGAAACTCAGAGATTTATTTATATACTTAAATTTAAAAAAAAACAGACTTTTGGGAGCAATAGCTGATACACTACGCTAAATATCTCTTCAATGCTGAATTAATCGTTACGATAATTTCCATAGCATGGAACCAAAATGACTATTTTGAGCCTGACATTCGCAGACGGTATACGATAACGTTGCAATTGCATCAGGGATCAGCTATAGTTCGAACAAAGCTCGAGAACGTACAATGCTGCAATCGGTGCGGTTTGCGCTATCATCTCCGCGCCGCCGACGACGACGTCATTTCCTGCTCCCGGCGGCGAGATCAATCGCGTTAATCCCAGGAGGATCGCGAATACGCACTTGTGCACCCCTTTCGAAGAGAGAAACACCCACATGCGAACAGCGCGCCGCGTGCCGCGCGACTGACGCCCGTCTCCTTCGAGGGCCCACTCTGTGGTGCCTCCACCTCTCCCGCTGCCCTCTCTCTTTACGAGAATCCATCCTTGTCCCGCTCGCAATTGGGAGAGAAAAAGAAAAGGAAAGAGAGTCCTTTTCCTAAAGGAAGCAACATAGTATTTCTCTCTCTCTCTCTCTCTCTCTCTCTCTCTCTCTCTCTCTCTCTTTCTCAATTTCTCCTTTTCTTTATATCTATCTCGCTTGATGAAAGAATTGCTAGATCGAACATATGATCACGACACGCGCGAATCGACAAACTTCGATTCCTGTGTTCACTGTAAGTAAAAAATATACGTGCTACAAATTCTCTATATATAGAACTGGATAATTCATTTTATATCTATAATTTATATCAATAATCCGTTTAACACGAGACTTCTGTTTATTTAAAAACGGATAATAACTTTTGCAATATTTTTGCCTCATTTATTTCAAATCAGTAAAATTTCTGCAACGTTTAACACGAAATTTATCAAAATTCCATTGGATTATTTATTTATTTGTACAACAATATTTCATTAATGCTATTAATATAAATTTACATTTATTGAATAACTGTTATCATTTTACTGCTATTTATTATTTTCATGTTTATTGTAGCAAATGAAAAATTAATTTTATTTGCGTAGATTTATTTTATATACCACATTTTATATTGCGACATTAATTTTATATACTTACAGCAATGGAGAAATATATAGAGATTCCCTATTTAGTTTTAAATTAATATCATTTTGTAAGTTTATCATCATGAATTTTTCGAAAAATTATGATGACAGTTTAAATAAATGAGTTAATTATAATAAGAGCATGCAGGTGTTTGCACTTTGCAACACTTGATAAACGTATGCAATGGTAATTATAAAGATAATTGTAAAAACATAATTGTAAAAACATTTCTATCCAATATCCACTAAAAAGTATGTCAGGTCTCAGAAGACCAAAGTTATACGCAGTGCAATTTATATGCACGATGTTTGAGAAAAATGATTGAAAATTACATGCATAATAAAACGTCTTTGTAACATTAGTGCAATTATCTGAACTTTGTAATTATCTAGATATAATATTTAACAAGAAAAATTAAATAGCGAGGAAGTAATATTAAATTCTTCGTGGAATTCAAATAAAAACCGAATGAAAAGCGGTGAATCTCTAGGACATCCTGCATAATTGTAATAATTATGTAGAAAATTAAGAGTCTAGCCATGCTACAAAATTGAACGATTTTTCAACGTATCTTCAGAAAATATTAATATATCTTTCATGAATGGTGCGAATTCTAAATTTAATGTCGATGCCATTAAAACAGATGTCGAATTAAAATAAAAGAATGTAAAGATAGAAATCCCACGCGTACCTTGGCGTTTGCTCAAGAATTTTCGCCTTTTTCTCCTAAATAATATCCTTCGTTATGCGCCAAAGGGAACGTATGACTTACATAAATTCGAAGTTTCCGTATTCCAGTAGCCGCGAAAGTAATTTTGCCCGACACGGAGACTTAGAATTTTCCTACTTAATTTAAAGGAAAAGGAAGAGAGACCGAAGAAATATCGGAATCTGAGGAGCAGTAATGTGTAATGAAGCGGGCTTATTCGCTTTTATCTCCCGATCTTGCGCTTCATCATTGATCACCTTTTAAAATTTTGCTCTTCACTTAGTCTTACCTGACTTATTTAATTTTTTATAATTCTAAATGTGACAGTTACACAATTCCAATTCTTTTATATCGTTTAATTTTACATCCGAAATGTATCACGATACTTTTTATTTTAATAAGAAATAATAATATATGTATTTTCATAAAACGTAAACCGCTAAATTTTCATAAATGCTTATCTCAAAAAAATAAGTTGCAAATTATTAGTAATATTATTATGAAAAGTATAACACTGAAAAAATGTTACTACATACATGCCTTATTACATATTCCTTTGAATAGTATTAAGTAAACATTTATTTATACAATAAATAAATATTTAGTCATTAAAAAAATGATGATTAAATAATGGTCTTTGTATCAAATTAATATAAGTTTACATTTAATAAGTATTTGCTTAAAACTAAATTCGAACAAATATTTATTAAATTTCGTATTTTTTCCAGAGTGTATGTATTTTTTTGAAAACTCAATTACTACACATTACAAATTATAATAACATTTTAAAAGAAGCTTTAAAAATTCCAGGGACTCCTCGTCGCCTCCATCTCTTTCCGCACACCCACTCATTCTCATTTGTTCTCGGAATGGAGGGCCCATGTTCGTAAGCGTTGGCGAACGGGTATTCGGGTGGCATGCGTGTTCCGGTGTCGCACGGCGTACTCAAAAATGATAAAAGCGATTTGTTGAATTGACAAGATAAACAACGTACTCTCTCGGGACTGCCTAGGATCGATTCTATTAAAACGGACGACCCTGGAAATGCAAATGGAGAATTATGTGCCCTTCGTGTGAGTCCGGGCTATTATTCGTCACCCGAGCGAAGGACCGTGCAGCATGACGTTGTTCGGAAAATTCATTAGCTTGCACGTGTGGAAAAAGATAAGTCGGGCATGAACACAAATGCAAATAAAGGTGCACGAGAGAGACTGTGGCTTTTTATTAGATCTATTCTTTCGTTACTCCTTGGGTTCATTTGAAATGTGCTTTCCACATTTTCTCGAAATTTTTATTTGTCTTCTCTTTCTTTTTTAACAGCATTAATTAACACACATTAGAGATTAATAAAGTTATTAATTAAATTAAAATGTACTTTTAAATTAACGAAATTTTTGTAAATGGTATAATATGGAATAATTACTTATTCTGTTTGATTCGTAATAATTATTTTTAATGATATATTATATTATATTTTTAATGATATATTTATTAGGATTATAGACAATAATCCTAATAAATTATATTAATTGTATTATAGAAAATAATAATTCCAAATTTTCTTTTAATCATGAATTCCGCTTTAAATTATTTCTATTATTTTTGCACATATACTATCTTTATAATAAGCTATTTTTATATATCTTCATCCATTATCCTTCTATTTCTTTATTTCTATTCTTCTAGTCTTTAATTCTTCATTTCTATTTTCTATATTATTGTTATATTTTTATAATATTCATTATTTTATCTGATTTCAAATTACTGAATAATCAATTTTTAATATCAAATAATATTCTACATTTTGCGATTAGATTATCTTTTTGATCAAAACAGAAGAAAAATTAATGCGTTTTTCGTAGGCGAGTAACGTGACAAACACATTAAAGCATGGAAAATATATTGCCGAGAAAAACGGGGAAAAATTCGCCCGCGGGAAGAAAGTAATTCCGATGTAAATAAAATGGAAATGCGAGAGCACGCAGTGTGTGCGTTCGAAAAACGAGGGTAAGCTTAATAAAATACGTGACATTTTCCGTAATTCTCTCCTACGTATGCATATATATGTATATGAACACACGAGTGAATACTTCGGGGGATATATGAGAGTTTAATAACGAACGACTGCCGAACGCACCTGATCCTTCCTTAATGATACGCAGGAGATCTTGTCCTTTTCCCGACCCTCTATTCCCTTCCATTTGCGATCGATACAACAACAAGGCGAAATTAATTCTACTCCACATGCTAATTAGAATACGATCGATACTGTATATAACAAGAAACGTATTGACTGGACATTTACGTATATAGAACAATTATATTTGAAATATTAAAGAGTTTTTCTTGAGGTTCTATCTATATAGTTCCTTCTATTCTTAAAAAGATCTATCTTTCATGCCTTAATTGAAAATAACAAAATCTGATGTGTTATTTTCAATTATGGCATGAAAGACAGATTTGTCTAATCATATAATAAACATATGAATATACATATAGATATAATATATTACATGTGTTTATATTTTATTACATACATATATAGGAGTTAAATCTCTATCTCTCTCTCTCTCTCTCTCTCTTATTGATTTTAAAATCCGCTCAATTGCAAAGCTCGAAAATGATACACCACAAGTGACAGTAATTCAATTGATATTATAATTACTAACGCAATTATATTATAATCTGACTTTGTTAAATATTAATTTATAACTGTATTTCATTACAATATTACTCGTTATTATTAATATTTTAACGTAGATATTTTAAGAGTTTTTAATATATTTTTCACATCATTCACAAGTATCTAATAAACATACAATATTAGAGCGCAAGCCGCGTGATTAATAAATTAATTACTTTAATTAATTAAGTTTTAATTTTTTAAGCTTTAATTAATTAATTAAGTTACACCTATATTCCATGACTTAATGATAACGATCGTAACAAAATTAATTAATTACTCAGAGTCATGACACTTATATTTAACTATAGTATTGATATTTAAATTTATTTCTTAAATGAGGCTGTTATCTGAGGATGAGACTCTTACGTAAAATTTATGAGATTCAAATTAGGCTTGGATAAGACTAAACGAACCGGAATGAACCATTCGGAAGGCGAGTTACGCGAAGTCGTGTCGTCATAGACGTTTGATAATAGCCCAGTGATATCGACTAATTAATCTGCATATAAAGCGCGTCGAACCCGAAACGCTTGCGGATATTATCGGTGGGCTTTGAAAGCCCATCATCAACAACATATAACAGCGCGCGATGAATGGCCGGCTAAGGCAACGAGTACTGTGTGGGCCAACGACCAGCCGCTTCCCGCGAGATAAAAGTACGCACTGAAAGATAAGCCCCGCGACGGATTCATCCTGCCGAAGACGTGTGGGTGCTGCGCCGGAAGAGGCCCCCTCCGGTAGGGTGCCACGGTAATCGGCACGACACTGACTCTCGCGAATAGTAAAATCTAAATTTAACCCTTCTATCTTTTTCAGTAGAAACGATCAAAAAGTGTTTATATCTCACACGATTAAATCTACAACCGGTATTCATAGACGGATTTAAAA